GAGAGAAGGAGAGAAGGAGAGAAGGAGAGAAGGAGAGAAGGAGAGAAGGAGAGAAGGAGAGAAGCCCTTTGATTTGTTGCAGCCAAACCTTGGATCTATGCGAAGTATACATAGGAATAAAGGAGCAAAGCTCAGTAAAACAGCACAGTAAATTGCGATGCTCAGGTGTTTACTTACAAGCCCAGCGCAGCAGATTTGGAGGTGCAAGCTGTGTTTGCGAAATGGTTGGAATGGGTAAGAAGCTTCCTGGAACACACTCTTCAGCAAGAAACCCTCTTGAAGCATAGCAATTGTATGCAATTGTCCAGCCTGGCAAGGTTTGATTCTGATCAATCAACTCAATGCTCTTCTTAAGAAGCTATCCACCTTTCCATCTTTGGGCACTCTCTATAATTCTGTTAGTTTCGAGGGAGTTTAGACTCCGATAAAGTTTCAAGTGGAAGGTGCCTCGCTCGACGGCCAAGAGTCAGGAGAGGGAACTTCTTCCATCATACCCCTCCTTAGAAATAAAGACTAAGGCGTAGCCAAGGTGTAGCCTTGAAAGGTTGTGTCTAGCCTCGCATGGCTTAACTGGTCGGCTTGGCTTGCGAGATACCCACAAAAACACTGTCGCTGGTCAGACTCGTCGCAAGGAGTTGGATGACCTATTCATGGGAGTTGCTCGGACCTCAATGGGCTTTCTCTCATCCTCACCCAACGACCTACTTTACTTGCAACTAGTGCTTTTGTCGGAATCTCAAATGCACTTGCAAACCGCAGACAGCCCACAAAAGATCCATACCATTGATAGCACACGGAGCCAGTTTCTGGTCAGTTTTGAGGCGGCCTCGGAGCCGACTGAATTGGTTTCCTTGAAGGAAGGTCCAGGAGACGAACTGAGCTCCCCGGCAGCCTTCAGGTTCTTGCTGTGGTTGTTTGGTCAATGGTGCTCGTAAAGGCTCCAGCGGGAGGAGCACAAACTCCGCTTTGCCAAAAGCCAGTCTGCCAACACTGCAGGGGGCAGGCGGAGGTGGGAGTTTCCAGTGCCACTGATGCTTGTTCATGCTTGTTGGCCTTTTTTTTTGGGGGGAAGCATGGGGTCAAACAGTCGCATTCTTGGCTCAAGCTCACGTCGAAGATGAACAACAAATGAAAAAACAAACAATGGCTTCAGCACCGTAAAAGGTAAACAGTTGGCATTATTGATCATGCAAATCTCGGTTTGATCGAGATCAGTAGCATAAGATGTGTTGGTAAGGTGCTTCTGCAATTCTCTCGAACATGTTCCGATACCTGACCAAAAAGCTGAAGGCACTTGCCTCATGCCTACGATTCAACACGCATTCAGCTGTTGCCAAAGTTTTTTTTGTTTGTGAAGTTCGCATTGCTTTCTCAGGGAGAGGAAGATGCAAAAAAGGACGCATTCTTGAAAGGTGTTTTAGCACAAGCAAGTTTGTGAGAGCCATTGTTGCTGATAAACCATGCCAGCCCTTGCACAATCTTGTCGAATGCATTTCCTGAAAAGGACCCTTATGCTGATCTGACGCCAGAACTGAAGGTGCAATGGCTGAACACGTGGATTGTTGGATTAGCCCAATGCCCCAGTGCCTTGTCGTTGTCCTCAGCAGCCAGACAGGTGCATGCTGCAGCTTGCAACAATGACGTCAAGATGCTAGAGAAGCTGGCCAAGGCGCAGCACAATACTGCTTATTTTGCCTGGAGTTTTGTGTATCATGGCTTTTTGTCTTAGAGACAGAGCAGGAGAGCGAGAGAGAGAGAGAGAGAGGACGGGGTGGACTTTAACGAGCCACGACCGCAGGCACCTTGTCGATGTAGATGTATACAATGAGTCATGAATGTAACAAAGGCACGCCATGCGCAGTGCACTACTATACACTTGCTAAACAGCTATTGCATTTGTTGAGACTGGTTGCCACACATTTGCAATACTTTGCGCCGGGCTTCCAAAATCTAGAAGGGTTATACAATGTAGAACTTGTAGTGAAGGGTGTGGACAGAAGCTGTCTTTCTTTTGTTTCTTGGGCTGTGCAACTTGGTGGCGCTGGCGGTGATAAGGACGGATACTATGCGCTGGATTCTTGTGCATGGCCACAGTCTTACATAGACAATTTGCTTCGACCATTTGGAACTGCTGCGTCAACAAGTCCAAGGTCTGGAAATGTGGAAGCCATCAATGTGCTGCTCCAGCACGGAGCAGACCCATCTATCACCCTGCAGGCACACGGTTCATGCTCTGAATGCAAATGAGCTCAAATGTTCCAGGAAGAGAATGAAACGCAGATGCGAGTTATGATAAGTTCGGTTGTAGGCCATAGTTGGTGCTGCTTCGTGGGGCGATCCAGAGATGCTGGAGGTACACCAATGAATCTACCATACTCTATATACCAAGTTTAGGTGGTTCGGGTGACTTTGCTGTCCGAAAGCAGCTCTTTTGAGGCACTTATCAGTGCAGGTGGTCAAGTGGACCAGGCCCTTCGCGCAATGCTTTGGTGAAAGCCATGACAATCAAAGTTGAAACGAACATTCCTGCTCTCCTAGGATCCCAATAGTCATTCTGGTTGTAGTCAATGTTGTGCGTGCACGAGAAAGCTGCGTTTGGACAAGAGGAGTTTCAAGTAAAGAACTGACAAGTATTATTGTTATATAACTGGCCACATTGTTTGCAGGAACTAAATTCTGAGACTGCTTTGCGATGGGCTGTGCAGTTCGGCCATGAGGACTGACTTAATAAACCCGCTTTTGATTCATTTACAGTGTCCAAACATGGCCTGGCCCAGCGGGCTCTCCACTGAATTGCAAGGACTGTGCCCTTCTTTTAGTTCAGAAGGCTGGTTTGCTTGTGGGAACAAGCACCTTCCGTCAAAAGCCTTCTATACATACATACATGCATGCATACATACATACATCCATACATCCTTGCATCCATACATACATCCATACATAAGTTTACGGGCTGTGTGTCCACACTTTGCAGCTGGGCCAGCTCACCCGCCTCGGTGCCATCACAGGTTTAGCGCCAGGCCCTCAATCAAAGGCCAGAGCTCTTTGCGCAGGCCTGTGTACCCTTGCTATGCACCACTCCGCATCATCGTCCAAGTCAGCAGAGTCTGGGAGGCCTGGACCAACCCAAACCAGCGCAAAGGTTTTCAAGATCTGGCCAATGAAGTTCCTGATCAAGACCTCAAGCGCCTCACTGTCCTCTATGCCAGCAGGAACACTCGCACTCCGGATGCACCTGGCAATGAAGCCCACTTGCACTGCAGACAAAGGGATGCTGGAGCGGTGGCCTGGGAGAGAGCCAACACCATCTACGATCAACGCCAAGAGGACTGGCAACATACTTTGGATGAAGACCATATCGCCATTTACCAGCATGCGGTGGCCCGCCTTGAAGCCATCTGTGCGGACCCATTGCACTATGTCCAGGAGAAAGCACCCAGACACCAGGGCCGCCACACCAAACAACACAAGAAGCAGCTCATCAACACCAGACAGGACAGGCCACAAGATCCATTGCGGACTCCAAGCCTTGCTGTGAGATGGTGTGCGCCTGTTTATGGACGTGGAGCTGCCTTGCGGTTGGATCATGGATGCGGAAATCCTGCCGAGGTGCCTGGGGAATACGCTCTGTCAACCGATTCGACGCTCCATTTTGTTATTGACGCCCTGAACGAACGTTTTGATGCCGTTGCCTATACCCATTGCTTCCCCGCACATGACTTCATCCTCCCGCCCAGGCGCTGCCTCCGCTGCTGCTGGCCCATGCAGAAAAAGAACAAGCGCAGGGGCTGGCTTTAGTCCCCCACTTCTCAGGTATATATATATAATATATATGTATATGTATATAACATATACATATATGTTTGCTACCATATACAAACGCACATACGTGAGCTACAAGATTGTGTGCAACGTGTAGTTGCGTGGACTGATGTTTGCGCAAACTTGTTTGCTTTTGTCATACCTTGAACAGGGGGCGTGGAAGCTAGAGCCGAACCAGGAGACTTTGAGCACTCTACACCTGGCACACTTCCATGAGCAGCGCCAATTTGTGTATCTTCCGCACTCAAGCATCTGAGGAGCTGCTACTTCTTCGCGCAAAGAGTGTCTCGTATTTGTTCAAAATCGTCCAATGCGAGCTGTTTGGATTGGCCACTGGCAAGTTACCCAATGTACCTGATTCTTGCAAAGCTACATGATAAAATAGTAAATAGTGCCTTTATGACTAGCAGTTGTTCTTTCTCAGCGACCGTTTCCAATTTCTTCATGAGAACCTGGCAAGGTCGGAGGATGCGCAAGCTCTTAGAGGGCATCGCTCAGGTGGATCCAGACCGCGCAGCAGATTGCGTTGTACCACCTTGCTGGAAGACTCTCGTCATAAGTGTCGTTTTTGGTCTGTGTCCCTGCCTCCTTTTCTTTTAACCACTAAGAGCAGTAGTGGTTGAGACCAAAGGGCTGAAACGGTGCCTCGAGTTCTAGTTCGGGAAGCAAGGGTAGCCTGTTGCAGTCTTCTGGTGCCCAAGGACATGTGAAATTCTTTGATGCAATCGTGAAGGGTGCGTAGATTGTGTCCAGTTTAGCTTTTGCAGTAGTTTCGTGGCTGCTTGAATCGTTTTGTGTACATACCTTGCCAGCAAACTTGCACGGCCCAATGAGGCGGCGTTGTTTCTTTGTCACAGGGGCATTGCAGCAGTTGCCTTTGGCATACCGCAATTTTCAAATGCCTTATTCATACAATTTTCAGGATTCTCAGGTGCACAATGTCACCTCCAACAACGGGAAAAGAACCCGACGTTTCACGTCTTTGCACAACAGCCACTGACTTCGGTTGAACAAAGTTTTTCGGCATACTTGGCCTGGCTTTCGCAGGCTTGGGCTTTGCTGCAGGATTTGCAGCAGGTGCTGCAGCCGCCAGTGCAGCTAGTGGTGGTGATGGACAAGGTGCAGAGCGAGAAAAACATATCCCGATGTCCACAGCAGCCCTAGATTTGTGCCCTTGGTTTTACATGTCAAAGATATGCACTAGTTGCATTTATGTACACAAAAAGCAGTCTTGTAACTGGTACGACATTGAAGGTAGTGCTCCAACCTTTTCTTCTTGGCTCCTTCTTCTTGCACAGAGCCTTTTCGATGCCAAGTGCTGAAAGGGCAGAATGTTGTGTGTGTGTGGCAGTATGTGTCTAAAATTCTGATTGGACTTGTGACCGGCAGACCCAAACAGGTTAGTTTTATGTTCTTTTTGAGATCATCCAGCTTTGTCATGGCATTCTTTTGAGGTCAGCACAGATGATGTTGTGCGACGTTTGAAGCTGCTTGTGTGATGGACTCGAAGATGCTGAACAGAAAGGACGTTTTATTTCTTTTTTAGTTGAAGATTCTAAAGGACGCTCTGCCCCCCAACCTAGAAGCGACGGCCTCCAACCTAGTAGCGATGGCCTCCAACCTAGGTGTGAGTATTTTGCTAGATTGCAGTGGCCTGCTGAAATTTGCGCTCCTGTTCAACTATTTCCTTAGAGTTTTCAGTCAGCTGGCTTGCAATTGGGCTTGGCAAAGGCCATATCCAGCTCAAGACAGATCGACTGCAGAGGACTGTGACACAGAGAAAAGGCTACAGATATCCACAGAGTACAGATTTACTAGTGGGCTATGTAGATGTGTGCAAGGCTTTGCAGCATGCCGGCAAGAAATTGCCACTGTATATAATCCACAAACATGGAGCTCAGGAGCTGCGGACGCGTCCCGATTTCTATGGTTCAGCGGCTAAGTTTTAGACTGCGGGATTTGCATGTCTATTTGTTTGGTCCTGCAAAGAACTTGGCTCACGCCTCGTTTTGGCTTAAGGACCATTCTGGGTGGCCACCACTGCAGTCCTCTTCCTTGCAGCCACTGGTAATTTTGCCAGGCAGACAGACAAGATTGCCACCCTTGGACGCTACGCTTTACTTAAAGTTTGAAGATCGCTCATTCAGCATTGTGCCTTACTGTAATGGCCTTAATGATGCCTTTCTGTTTTTGCTTTGTGGGGGAAGGTGCAAAGGATTGCAAAGGTATTTCTGAGTGGTGGCAGGCTGATCGAATCACCGCACCCCAGCCTTTTCAAGGTGCACAGTGGGTGCACAGTGCTCATAGAGATTCGTAGAGTGTAGTATCAGTATGAGTGTAGAGATGTTGGAAATTTCAGCCATCTCATTTTGGAGAAGCTAATTTTGATGTCGCACGTTAGGCGGACTACAGCTTGGTGCCACTGGCTGCAAGTCTTGTTTACGGGTACAAGACTCAATATAACGGGTTATCATATTATATATACCTAGTGAGTTATAACTACCATCTCAGGTCAATCAGGGGCATATTGCCTTCCCTTGTTCTTTGAATCAGGGGGTTGATTGCAGTGCCCATCCTGGCCCGAGTGTCAGTCGCCTCAGTTAGATGTCTACTCTTGGATCTTGAGTAGACATGCTCTTACAAGAGAGTGCTCGGATTGTTGTTATTGTAATTGTGCATTGCCTTCGGTTCTGGCAGAGTGCATTTCTTCCAAGCTGCAGGTCCGTATTCTTCACCGATGAAGAGGCTCACATGCCTTGAGATGACATGCTGCTTGCAGATTCATTTTTTAACGGCAATTTTCGAGCTGTAGGGCACCAAAGAGGTAGCTAGTATTAGGAAAGTACAGTAGCAAGGAATCTATTGCAAGGGCTCCTCACACCGTCGAAACGGTTTGCCGAGCGATTGCCAGCACACGTCATGACAGATGCAGGTTGCAAACATCGACTTCAAAAAAATCATTTGTGTTTGCGGGCAGCTGGGATGCACATTATTGCTCTTGTTGTCATGCAAAAAAAAGATATACACATATATATATATACACATATGTACACGTAAAGCCCTGTGCTAGTTGAATTGGCGCCTTGTGTTCATACAGCTTCTGCTTCTGAGCAAAAAGCCTCAGGTATGGACTTGCACCTTCGATACCGGTGTCGGGTCCCTGTTTGATACCTGCGGTTTCGCATGCGTGCTGGTGTCAAGTGTGGCCAGTGCTTTATTTTTGCAGCATTGTTTGAGGTCCATACTTTGCATCATTCCAGTTGGATTCCTGCGATGGCTTTTTGTCCTTGGAGGTCTTATTTGTTTGGCTTCGACTTTGAGCCAAAGTAACAAATCTTTGGAGGTTTGGCGCTTTCGCTCTATTTTATCAAGGGCAACTTGCTTGAGGACATCTCTGTGAAAGTGTAAACTGCCCAGAGATTGCTTGCTTTGGGATGCTCAATGCTCACCATTATATAATAAACACTGTTAGCACCTGTCTCTTTGAGGCGATGGCTACAGCTGACCTTGATCGCTGCCCCAGTGATTCTTCAGGTTCGGCGTTTTGAAATTTCTAGAAGGCATATATGCCCTGTCACACAGGCTCTAGTTTTGGGCACCAGGTGCTTGTGTTCTTCATCTACAGGGTCCGCTTCTTCGCGGGTGATCGAGACTGACCATGACACACGGCGAAAGAAAGGAGCTTTATGCAATTGCTCCCTCCAATAGAGCACAGCAAAGCAAGATAAAGCAATAACCCAGAGGAAAGTGAAGGGTGTGTGTACACACAGAAGTGCGCTCTTGCATCAGTTTCTACATCAAAGCAATGCAAGTCAGACATGCCGCATGTTGTCAGACAGAGCTGCAGTTGACTTCCCGCTTCATTGCTACAATGCAACATCAAGGTGTGCAACGGAGACAACCCCGCAATCGTACTAGGACATGTCTACTAGGAACAAGAAGCTACTAGTTATGTTCAAGTGTTTGACCGGGTCAATTGCTCCAGTTTGCCTTTCACGTCACAAGAAAACACCAAAGGAAAAACTTACTTTGGCAGCCCCAAACCCAGCCCCAACCAAACTTAACAGCTTCGAGCAGGCGTTGCAACAATTGACATTGTCGGTTCTCGTGCCACTGCAGAACCCCAACTCTTCAGCGACGATTCAGAAGAAGCTTACGACACTCACGTCGGTTTGGTGCCCCCCAATCTAAAACATCAGCATTTGGAGGGGGTTAGTAAGGTTTAGTTCGTTCTTTTTTCAATCTTTCAATGGTGATCTCTAATCAACCCACGCTTTCTCAGCTTTAAGCTTTGGAGCTCATGCCACGGCACGGCCGCTCCAGCAGCCGTCGGCGGGGGCGGCGGCATGGCTCCTCAACGAGGAGGTGAGAGGGCTGAGAGTGGGGGTTATGTGGTTTGGGTGGTGCGGGTGTTCTTACGCTCTACTATGGTCAATTCAATTTCCCGACCTACTTTGACGCAAATATAGAAGAAGACATGAGACAATTGCCAATTCAGGAGAGAAAGGTCCAGAAGCCGCGCCAGAGGGTCGTCAACTTAGTGCTGATGTCAAACTCATATCAGTAACATGTAGCACACCTTTTGTTTGTTTTGGATCAAATCCTACACAGCTACGCTGCCTGTTCTGCTATCCCATCTTCAACTCTTCAGCCAATTTGGATCCTGCCTTCCGCTTAGACCTCTGGAGCTTCTTGCGTGAAGCGCTCCACTGTAGATCACAATGTCTTCCATGTGGACTGACAGAAAACCCAATTGGAAGAGCAAGACCGGGTTTGGCTTATGCTCTTTCAAACCTGCATCGACGGTTTCACGCGCACTGGGGCCGTCGTCACACACCTACTTAGGCAGCGCCGCAAGCGGCAGCGAGAGAAGAGCTCATCAGAAGTGCGGTGTCCTGATTGCATTTGGCACAACCTCAATGCGCAGCTCACAACGAACATGTGCAGCTGAGCTTCAAGAAGCTTTGAAAAGCTTGAAGCGGCTGATCGTGGTTGGAAGACTTCTTTTTTGCAATTGGATGGCTCCCCAAGCGTCCTTGTTCCTAGTAGCGATGCCAGGAGCCCCTAGTAGCGTCCTTGTTCCTAGTAGTATGGCCAGGAGTCCCTAGTAGCTACTTGTTCCTAGTATAATATAGATACTGTAGATGGTTGACTGAGTTAGGGTTGTCTTTTCTTATTGTTTTTGCTGCACACGGGCCGGGCCTGCCTCTTGAGCAGGCTTAGGGTTGCTTCTTGAATGCAACATTCTTTGCTCCCAGTGACCTTTCAGGAAGCCAGATGGAGGTGACTTGATGGCACACTAGCAGGAGCTTTCTCAACTCTGGCGCTGCAATGACTCATAGCCCTCTCAGGTAAAAAACAAGAAGGAAAGAAAAAGGTAAAAAAAGTTGCCAAGCTGCAAGCAGTGAGGGCCTCTTGTAGCCACGTGCAGCAGATTACAGTACGTCATTCTGTTGCAAGGGGATGATTCAGCGTATATATATATATATGTGTGTGTGTGAGTATGAACTACTGATGCTTTTGATTGAGAAAGGGCAACTGTACAAAAAGCGAGACACTCAACGGTATTCGTTGGGCTTGAGGATAAACTATATAACCCTGTGTTTTGTCTTCCTCACGTTGCTAATGCACAGAAGAAAGCCAGTGCACGAACAATCATTTAACAGTTTATTGCATGCACATGCAGCACTATCGCCCATGACCATGCATGGTATACTTCCCATTTCTCAAATCACGCGTGCATTTTACAGCCTTTCTTCCCGACATCGAGGCCGAAAAAACAAGTAAAGGAGATAAGGAGGAGAAGGACGAGAAGGCTGATAAGCTGGAAAAAGACGAGAAGACTGAGAAGCCGGAACCCGCGAAAGCGGAGTCAGGCCAGGTTGAAAAGGCTGATGGCGACTCATCAAAGGCGGGAGGTGTTGTTAGATTCAGCCTTCCCTGGATCATCATCTTGTATTTCCTTGGTGTTCATGTGTGGAAACTTTTTTTGCAGGTAGAGAAGGCAGAGAAAGCAGCCAAGGACAAGCCCGAGAAGGACTTCAACGTTGAAATTACACAGAAGCATGCAGAAACCACTTCTGAATCTAAGACTCAGCGGTGAAGGGTTACGGGTTATTAGTTATGATACAGTTGTTGGTCCAGCGCCTCACTGATTTCTCTTGCCTCATCTCATTCAGCTGATCTCAAGGCAGAGAAGAAAGCCAGCAAGCCCGACAAGCCCGACAAGGTGCGCTCTTCGACAGTTTGACACTCAACGTTCGGATATTAGAGTATTGTCACGCACCACAACGTGCTAGGAAAGCATTACAAGCTTCATGCAAGTGGTTCTCCGATTCGGTATGATTTTCGTGTATGATCGGTTCATTTGCAAGACACTTTGAGCAACGCAGAACCACTTTGACATAAGCAGCCTAAAGCATGTTTTGCAGTGCAATTCTGCAAGAGCAGCCCCTCTGAATGAGGCCAAAGGCAAAAAGACCAAGGATGGTAAAACGAACAACAAAGGACATGACGATCTTGATGGATAGGAACATTGCTGCGTAGACTTAATGGAAGGTGAAGAGGGTGGTCGCAACTACAGTTCTGGGCAGGAGACGAGAAGACAAAGAGCAAAAGCCAAAGCAAGAAGGACAGGTTGAAACAAAATCATATCTAAACCTGATGTCTTTACATTTGGACTTCCTAAGCATTGTCAGCCTTTCAAGCTCGAAGGATACAGCAGCGAAAGCCGATGCGAAAAAGAAAGCAAAGGCAGCTCAACCGATCTCGGTAAACCAACGCAAACTGCGGCACAAATGCTCTCAACTGACCCCGCATTTTTACATGTGGGAAGGCAAAGAAAGACAAAGACAAGTCGTCTTCTAGCTACAGCTCATACTCTTCTTCCTCTTCCAGCCCCTTGGCAGATGGCTGGGAGTTGACTGGGCCAAGATTCCAGCAAGAAACGCCAGCAATGCATAGAATACCTTTTTGGGTGAACTTGTCTCCATCTTATTTGAGCACTTGTCAGTGGAATACTTTTGTGCCTCCTTAGGCAGCGATGATGATGATCAGCAACAACAGCAGCAGTATTTGCAGCTTTGTTGCACTCAGGCTTTGCTTTGGTGCAGCAGAAAACCGTCAGTTTGAGATTCTGAGCACCGAGGAATGCCATGAGCCAGTGGGCGATGATGCAGGTTTGCCGGTCAGTCACTACATGCATACACACACGGATATACCGTATGATATACCTCTGATAGATTAGCCCGCCCTTGAAACTCTGGCATTATCGCACCACATGCAACTACTATGCCACAAGACCATAAGCGCAAAAGGGGAAGGCAACACTGTCAGCCACATTATGTATATATATATATTTACATACCTTCGCCTTGTTTGTTAGACAACAATCTAAGATCATCCAACATTTCTTTTACGCATGACAAACCCAACAAAGATTGAACTTGAGCTGATGACACACCTCAACAATCAGCAGATATGCAAGACCCGGACCCACTGCCATGCAATGCAGTTGGATGCAGCATCCTGGATTGTAGGTCTTGGCTCTGATATGTGTGTTTACTAGTGACATTTCCCTTCGGCATCACGTACCTATTTGTGGGCAGGTCTGGGCAGATACACTGTCCCAACAGGTTCAAGATATCGCAGCCACAGCATAGCAACATCGCATTCATTCTAAGTACAACAAGAACGGTCCAAAGAAAAGACAAGTCATTGGAAAGTCAAGCAGGCAGCCGCCGCAGCCGCTTACTTTTTACACGCCCTTGGAGCCCTTAGGTCATCAAGATTCCACACATACACAGACGACTCGAGAGCCACGCAGTGCTGTCTCAATTTACAGTGTTAAGTGACCTAGGAAGTTTCTAAACCATGCCATGCTCTTGCCTGTTACTTTGGCCCTGTGCTCTGCATCTCAGAGGGACGCCTTTAGTTTGGCACTTAGATGAAACGCTTCAGTTAGCCTCAGAACGCTGGAAGATCTCCAAGAGTGGATTTGGGATGCCTGGGGCGACTGGGTTGCCAAACGGATAAAGCCAGGATCCAACACCCCCAAAAGACAAGGAAGTTGTGCTCTGTGAATTTACGCAGGTGAGTGCTCATCCAATTTTGGTCCCATCCCATGCTTGCATGTTGCCAGAACTTGGATGGAGCAGCAAAAGCTTCCCTCAAGCAACTGACAGTTGCAAGTCACAGAAACATCCGAACAGGGGCAAGGACGCTAGTAGGGGCTCCTGGCATCGCTACTAGGAGCAAGGATGCTACTAGGGGCTCCTGGCCTTACTACTAGGAGCAAGAAGCTACTAGGAACAAAGGGCATCGCTACTAGGAATTGTGACTAGTGACTAGTTCACTGTCAACGAGCAGATTGCGTTGGCTTGGACAAGCAGTGTGACACTGGCACCCACACAAGCAAGAATCGTTTTAGGATGTATATATTTCAGCTCGATATGTGGAGATGGGACACAGTTCAGGGCAACTACTTCAAGTGCGGTTAAAGAATTCAACAGCAGAAAGAGGCCTTTCTAAGGACTGAGAAAGCAGTGCAACTTTCAAACGGTCACAGCAGGTCTGAAAGCCACAGACGCCGGGCTCATTGTCATGGCCTGTCCCTGGCGATGGCTCACTCGACCTTTTTTGCGCCGTGTTGGTGATAGCCTTGATAGCTACTGTCCTCGAAGCACAACATTTTCTCAACAGGTTGACTTTTGGAATTGACAACGGTAGAAGTAGGTCATTATGGGTAAGTATTTGGACAAGATTTGGCTAACTGTTTTGTTGATATCTCTCTCGATACAGCTTTGCTACGCTTTGCTGTAGTTCTCGAAACGCCGCATCATGACTACAAGCTTCGGCAAGACCTTGGAAGTATCAAGATTGAACTGTAAAGCCGGGCCATTGATTAATGGTAATGTGCAAATGCAACATAATGCAACACCGTTTCTGTTATGGATTCTCACACCACTCCACTATGCTGGCCACTGACCCATTGTTAATCGGTGAGAGTCGGAGTCGACTTGACTCAGCAACGCGGTTCTTCTCATGACTAGACAGTATTTGAATCTGCTTCGTCAATCGTGCAATCGCAGGCTAGGCTGGGCACAACATCATATAGTACTGACGATACCAGACAACAGATTAGAAATGCACCAGCACAGGAGTCCCAACTCCGGCGGCAGACACAACATGAAGAACTTGACAAGAACTGGACCTTTTTGCTCCTTTTGCCGAGAGCCTCTGGCACCTCGGCCCTGTCCAGCATCCATGATGCGCAGTGCAGGGTATGCCAGCGGCCATGGGCACGTCACAGATGGGCATGGCTGGTTATGCCCAGTATGCTGGAGGCATTTGGACTTTGTTCGATGTAGCAACCCGCAGAGTTTGACGCTCGCAGGCCAATACCCTGGATATGGGACAGCATATGGATACTCCGATCCTTATGGCAGGTGGGGTGGAGTTAGGTCAATTGTATCTGTATATATGATTAACTATATAGACTTTGGAGTTGCGCGCATGTTGAGTCTTCACTGAACCAGGCCCTATGGGTCCAGCATGGGAGAGGCGGTACCATCAGGCAAGGGCTCCAAATTGTTTCCACCTGCCAATAAAATGATTAAAGGAGCACGCCTTCCTTTTTTGGATGTTTGACCCATCAAAACTTGGAGGTTGTGGCTATATGCAGGGGGTGACTCCACCACCACCGCCACCACCTGGTGCTCCCCCACCACCCGCAGCTTGGTAGCATTTGGCATGTGAAGCGGATTGCCTTCTGAGTGATATATATATATATTATACATATTACACATGATAAACTATATAATACATTATATCTATATATGGTTTTAGTTTAGTTTTGAATGGTAATGTTTGACCGGCAAAGATCACAGCCCATGCTGAGGGTGCGCCGCAGCCGTACATGCAGCCTGACAGCAGTTGGCTACCAACCGAATCCCAGACATAAGAGACAGACTGATGACTCAGACGACACGCCAGACAGCTGTTGTCACCCGAATTTCGATGAACTTCGTTGGAATTTGTCATGTGGGTCCACAGACTTAGTTTTGGAATGTTGATGCCTAGGCAAGGGCCCATGACGGAGGAACAGCGACTTGCCGATGAGCGTGACAAGGCACTTGCACAGTTTGCAAAGACCCATTCTGGCGACTACAATGCGTTGCATGGCAGCATTTGTGCATGCCTTTGCAATGTACTGCAGGCACGAAGGCGTTTGGAAGATGAAACTCGTCTCCGGAACGAGGAGCTTCACAGAAAGGCGGATTCCGTCCCTCAGACTAACTGATCACATCTCTGGGAATGCTAAGTCTGATGCAATAATTGGGTTTTTCCAAGGAACGAGCAGTAGCGACTGTTCGCAATGCAATCCTTCATCTGCAGAATGGGCAGTTGCTTGGCTTTCAGAAGGTATACGGCGTGTATATATATATATATATACGGTGTTCCAGTGGAGGTATGGACTCACACAATTTCTTTGCTGCAAGCAAAAGAGAGGGAAAAATGGGGCCCTTACCTTCCTGCAGCGAAAGACACCAGCAGCTAGTCTTTGGCCTAGGTCAGACGCTTTGGACAAGTTGCAAAAGGCAATTGACTTGAGATTTGTCATGAGGAGCTTTCTAGGAAAAAGAACGCGTTCTTGTTTGTGCCAGAAAGGCGGCAGTCGGGCGCGGCACTGATTTCCCTTGTGCCGCTTCCATCTAGCTTTTAATGGATCCTGCCGCAGACGTTGGAGAAAACTTCCGAGCGGGAGTTGCCCAAGTGCGAAAGCCAAGCAGAAGCTTTAAAGCGCGATATGAGCAAGGCACGATTGTTTTTCCGACGGCAAGCCGATTGCTTTGCCCTATTCTCATGATTCTCGTGTGCAGGCAATTGCTGAAGCTACAAAGCGACGCGAAGAGCTCCGTGAGCTCAAGGCCATGATCAGGACTGTTTCAGGAAAACCTAGGTCAGATTCAGATCATGTCAGATAAATACTATGTCAATAGGGATGAGGTCCCAGTATAGTTGCTATATAGGTACATGCCATATACTTTTGGCTCAAGTGCCCAACCAGGTAAAAAGGAGCTTTAGCGCGCGAGCTTCATGTTGAACTAAGGGCTAGAACGGGGCCAGGGCACACCTTTTCATCCGTTCGCAGGTTATCAGCCGTATCCAGACTCCTTTGAGCTGGGTACGTGCTGCGGCCTTACACAACACCATCTAAACACACACGCATCGGATAGATCAGTTACCCTCAGTCACTGAAGATGGACCAATCCGACGCCAGCACTGCGTCCTTTGGAGCAGCTGCTGCGGCCGCAGATCGGGTGAGTGCATCCCACAACTCTAGTCCAGGTACGATCGAAGCGGAGACTCTGACAGTGGTGAGAGAAGGTGCGACAGGTAGAGCGCGAAGTCGTTCCCCGTCAGCGCAATCGACACCACCGGGGGGGACACCGAGGTCAGGCCGTAGCCTTAGGGAGACAAGGAGGAGGACTGACACCGGAGCAGTGAGAGTGCTAGCATTGGAGGATGGGTCAACTGTACCAGTGCCGTCGGACAGCGAAGCTGGAGATGGAGCAAGGGCAAGCACTGACAACCTACAACTAGCACGGGCCGATGGAGACCTGAATGCGAAGTGTGCGCAACTACTTGCCGAAGTGCATATGTTGAACCACCAAAACGCATGGATGGTCGAATGTGAGCAGAGACAGAACCAGATCATACAACACGAGACCGAAGTCCACGAAGTAGTGATGGCACACCTCGAGGAATGTTATGTCGAAGGATATGGAAATCAACGAAGAATCACCCAACTCACGGAATCCAGAGACTGTTTGCTCTCAGCAGCACACGATTTGCAATACCAGATTGACACTGATCGTGTGGCGATGCGGGATCGTCTCACCCAATTAGGGGAGTACGCTGATCGCAACAGCGCAGAGATGGTTAGTCAAGTTGTGAACATCGGCACGGAAGAGATCCAGGCTATATCGGCGGAAAGAGATCGAGCCGTAACCGAGGTCATGACTGCAGTCGCAGATGCTGAGAACATTAGGGATCTGTATAGACAGGAGTTAGTTGGACTACAAAGGCAGAGTGCCAGGAACAAACACGAATATGCTGAGGAGATGAAAATGAAGGAAGCAATGTATGCAAGCAAGATCAAATGGTTATCAGAAGAGAATGAGGAGCTCAACAACCGATCTTATAATCAGGACAATTTCATCATGACCATCAGGGAGCAATTGAAGAGGGCGAACGAGGAGTTAACGCAGGCGAGGATTCAAGGATCCGATCGACCGTCTCAACCATCCAACGTCGAACTCAAGAAAGCTGAAGTCAAGGTGAACATGTTGGAAGAAGACATTCTACGGAAAGAGAGGATGCTGAAACGTCTTCAGGAAGAACTGATCGAATCGAGCGCAAGTGAAGCACAATTGAAGGTCGCACTGACGTTGAAACCACCAGACATGGGATCGGGACCCAATGTGGAGAATGAGATGATGACCAAGCTTAGAGCGGAACTCGGACGTACCGAAAAGTCATTAAGGTCCGAGGAGAAAGAGGCAATGGAGTACTACGAAGGCATGATGCAGAACCAACAGGACATGATGGAATTCGAAGCGCGTGCAGCACGGCTCAGAGATGAGAGGAATAAGTACCGGAGGAGGTACGAAGAGGAGCGCTTGAATGCAGAGAATGCAGCCGCAACCGAACATGGTGCCGCCTCATCCTCTAGCTCGGGTGGCTCCAAGATATCTCGGAAGGAACACGAGAAAATCAACATCCCTGCATGGCCCAAGATACACGACCTGGAGGTTTGGAAATCTCAGGTTGTAGCGGCAGTCGTGACGGCATCGGGCGACGAAAGGCAAGAAGACTGGATCCAGTGGCTCTCGGATGCCTTCAGATCACCATATGACCCATTTCTGCTCGAGACATCAGGTGAGGCAAGATTCGCTAGCATAGATGCTAAGCTAGGTATCACCCTACATACAATCATCCACGCAGCAGGTGAAAGATCTCATGACGTACAACTGAAGGTGAGGCAGATGATGCAGAGACGTGCGAGAGGCACAACTCCTGGAATGGTCAAGGGACGAGAAATGTTAGCGTTGATCGTCGATAGCTTCCGGAGTGCCGACAACGTTGATGTGATGTATGCATCCAAGCACTTATTCGATCTAAAGTTCCCTGGGGATAATCAACTATCCAGATTCCTTGGACAGTGGGATGAGATCATATCAGGTATGGATGCGGATGACATGCTTCCTGACAAAGCACTCCGCAACCTGCTTTGGGACAAGATTAAGGATTCCAAAGTTATGGCGTTAGACTTGTCCGTGTACGACAACATGTTGGATAAGGATCCGGATAAGACCTACCAGAAGTTACGAGAGATCATGGCGAAGTGGATACGGAAATCAATCGAGACCACAAACAAGAAAGAAAGGGAAAAAGCTTTTGGGAACCTCGTGAAAGCCACACCAGCGGCGGAGAAGAAGGACCCTAAAGCGAAGCCCAAGAATACCAAGGCCGATCCACCGAAGCTTGACGCCGCTCCAGTACTTCCTCAGGCTAATCCGAAGGATCACCACAAGAAGGACAAGAAGCAGGATCGTGGAAGGTCGACCACGAAGAGCCCAAAAGGGGATCGTGGCAGGTCAGCGACTCCGGCAGATACGTCCAAGATAGGATGCGCTTTCCACTTCCATGGGAAAAACGGATGTTCTAGAGGAGACAAATGCAAGTTTAGTCACCAAGAGAAGCACAAAAGTTCTGCTAAGAAACCAGAAAGCCTCAAGGGTGACAGATCAAAGAGTCCTGGTGGCAGGAGCAGTAGCCCTAAGCCAATGAAGGATCAGGTCTGTTGGAATTGGCAGAAAGGATCGTGCAAGTTCGGGGACAAATGTCGACGTCAGCATCACGCTGCCCCTGCTACAAAACAAGAGGCTAAAGGCAAAGCCAAACCTAAACCGGCTGCGCCAGCCTTCATGCTTTGCGGAGACATCGAGAGTGACGACGAGGACGTACAACCCGCACTTCCCAACGTACAACAAGGTGAGTTGGCACTTCGCTTTAAAGTCAGAATCGATGACCAAGCGAATGTGACCACGTTCCCCTGCGATCCTGGTAACGAGCTAAACACCCGTCCCCTCAGGAAGAAGAAGAGTGAGGTGCAGAAGGTGGATACCGAGCTCATTTCGTCGTTGAGAGCCCTCAGAGTGAGCAATATAGCTGCGCGAGTAGCACATGCCAAAGGTAAGATGATGGAGCTATTTTCTGCTGAACACATTGCCAAGGCATGGATACAAATCACTCAAGATGAAGGAATCGAGGTGAACGTCGACCTGTCTGACTTCAACACCAGCGAGGTAGTAAGGAAGGATTCTGTCAACTACACGATACCAGGAGACACGATGTTCATGGCTGTGGAGAGGTATGATGGACCACCGATACGCTTCATCATGGACACGGGATGTGGACACGACTTGATCTCAAGAGAGAAAGTCAATGCCATGGGCCTTACCACCAAGGAAGGACCCAAATCCGTGAGCTTCATGACAGCGAATGGTGTAACTAGTACATCAGAGATGGTGGACATCAATGTGGACGAACTACCCATGAGATCCGAGGCACACGTGTTGGAGAACACACCATCAGTCTTTTCCATCGGGAAACGGTGCATGGAACAAGGGTACTCATTCATATGGCCGGCAAATCAATTGCCATACCTCATCGACCAGAACGCGAACAAGATTCCGCTATCGGTGCATGACAACATACCCTACATCAAGGTGAATGATGACGACGGGAGATGTTTACCAAGACCAGACGGCTTGGCTACGATACTTCATCGCATACTGTCAGGTGTGGGGCATGAAGACGAGGCCACAGCAGGTCAGGAGACACAACAAGAGGAACCTCCGCCCAAGAAACCACGGAGGCGGAGGAGAAGGAAGAAAGATAACCAGAGAGATCAGGATGGTGAATCTGATATCAATCCAGCTGTTGTAGGCGACGAAGAGGAACCAGAGGAACACGGTGATGACGGATATTCTCCTGAAGAGGGATATGACGGGGAAGACCCGAGAATCGATCGTGATCTCGATGGTCAACCTGAAGAAGCCGAAGACGACGAACATGGAGGTGATGCGGATTCTGAACGAGAGGAGAGTGACATTGGTGAAGATGAAGAGGGGCTATTGGAAGTCGATGTGGTTGACGGGGAAGCCAGACTATCAAAACCAGGAGTGCTGAAGAACGAGGCAAAATCCATATTGCACCTGATGACGCACCGATACAAGAACCCATACTGCAAGTCATGCGTGAGAGCAAAGATGAAGCACTACAAGACTAGCAAGGGCGCTTTCAAACGGAAATTGAAGGCATTCGGTGACCTTATCACTTTCGATCTCATGAACACTCAGAAGATGGCGAGAGATGGGATCATGCCGGATAAGGATGTATTGGTGATTCGAGATCGGTTCACTGGTGTGATATGGGGCTATCCTTTGAAAGCGAGCAATAGTGACGAAGTGGTGCAGGCGATGAAGCACTATATCGGGAAGAGAAAGATCACCAACGCTTACTCGGATGATGCGCCACAATTTGAAGCAGCACTCAAGGAACTCCGGATTCCACTAGACCAGTCGCTTCCAGGACATCCCCAGAACAATTCACTCGCCGAGAGAAACAATCAATTCATGATGCTTACCACATCGACATGCCTACTAGAAGCCGGACTACCACCATGTTTTTGGCCATTTGCAGTGGAGTGCGTAAGCCATTTGTTGAACATCGAGAAGCTGAGCGATGGCAGCAGTGCATGGTTGAAGTTGCACAAGAGCGAATTCCCAGGCATGGTGATACCACTCGGGGCGAAGGTGTTCTTCAAACCTAGTGACGCGAGAGAAAGAGACCAGGATCACAAGTTCGACC